GCCGGGGGGGGGGGGGGGGGGGGCGGCCCGCCGCGGCTGCGCGCGCGGCTGCGCTCGTGCCCTTGCGCGCGCGCGCGCTCGTGTCCTTGCGCGCTCGCCCTCGTGCCCCTCGGGGCCTCCCCCGGCGATGCTGCCTGCTGACGGATCGGCGTCGACGCAGGCGCCGGTGCTGCTCGCCACGCGTGCGGCCCAGCAGGCAGCCTCGTCTCGGAGGCGACGGTGGGCCGCGGCCGCCCGCGGGGGCGCCGAGTGTCAGGCAAGCCACCGGAGCCTTGTGCGTCCTCGTCTTCGGGGTGCCTTGCCGTCGGCTTGGATCAGCAGGTCGACCCTGCCAACTCAGGAGTGCTTTTTATTGTCCTGTGTCTGGCGACCCATGCCTCCTACATTCCTGTGGCAGTGTGGCACTCGGAAGGGTCTTGTGTCATCTCGCGTGTCCTGTCCAATCAAGTCCGACTGTAGCGTACGCTGGCGTCTGGTAATCGACGAGAAAGCGCCGATTTAGCGTCAATGTGCATCGATTTAGCATCGATGCAGCATCGATTAGCGTCGAGCAGCGTCGATTCGCAAGAGCCACTATGGGAGGCTCCCATGATGAATTGCCGCAGGAGGTTCAATGGAACGGTCGGTGCAGGGCTTCCAGATCGAAAAGGCGGTTGCAGTTAGGGCTTTCCCCCCAGGAGCACGCGCTGTTCCTGGCCGTTGCTGCATGTCAGAAGTACTCGCCCGAGAGGGCCTGGAGGGGAGGTGTCGCCAAGAGGCCCAAGGACTGGTGTTCGACGTGGCAGAAGATGGAGATCCCTGCCGAGTTGCAGTGTGAGGCCCTCCTCGTCCTCGTCCTCGGCCCGCCCCCCTCCTCTCTATACTTTTTGTTCGTCCTCATGATCATGCTCCCTCTTCTTTCTGTCTATATAGCTCAGGTTTCGTCCTTCCTCTCTCGCGTGCTCGCTCTTTTTCTCTCTCTCTCTCTCTCTCTCTCTCTCTCTCTCTATGTATATATATATATATATATATATATATTCTATGTATACGTATATATGTGTCATTATCTATCCCACTCTCTCTCTCTCTCTCTTTCTCGGTATTCCTCTCCTTCTCTCTCCCTCTCTCTCTCTCTCTCTCTTTCTCTCTCTCTCTCTCTCTCTCTTTCTTCCCCTGTCTCTCACGTGTATATATGTACATGTATACACGTACACGCGCACATCGAAGACGCCTACGGCGAACCCCAGAACATATGGCGCCCATTGGGTCGTCTTGGGGCGTTGGAAGCGCGAATAGAAGAGAACGCCAAAAACATCGGAACACCATCGGGAAATCAATGGTTCCGGCCTCATGGAGGTCCTCTGGGTGCCCTCTTGGGGCGTCTTGGCGGCCCCTTGGGCCGCCTCGTCTGGAAGGCACCCTGGGCCGGCTCGGGGCCTCCTTTGACCGTCCTGGAGGCGTCTCGGGACCTTCCTGGAGGCCATCGTGGCCATCGTGGAGGCCATCTTCGAGACCATTCTGGCCATCTTCAGGAGGGAAACAAAAACACATACACAACTGATTGTGGGAAGATAAACACACAGAAAATATGGGAAAATCTAGGGAATCCTGTTATTTGTGTGTGTTTATTTGTGTGTCCCATGGCCCCCTTCACATCTGGGAGACGGAGGAAACGCCTTGGCGCGTCTTCCTGTGGGCCAGCGGGTCGGGCCAGAGGCCCTGCAGAGCAGCAGCAAAAGTCTTGGCACGCCGAGCAGCCTCGTGGTAGGCACGGGGAGCGGCGGAGCGAGTGCGCTTTGAGGCGAACCGCCGCCGCCCTGGCGCGGTGGAGGCGCTCCCTCCTCCCTCCTCATCTTCTTCCTCCTCCCTCCTCCCTCCTCCTCCTCCTCATCCGCCTCCTCCTTCCTCCTTCTCCTCTTCCTCCTCCCTCCTCCCTCCTCCCTCCTCCCTCCTCCCTCCTCCTCCTCCTCCTCCTCCTCCTCCTCCTCCCTCCTCCTCCTCCCCTCCTCCTCCTCCTCCTCCTCCTCCTCCTTCCTCCTCCTCCTCCTCCCTCTCCTCCTCCTCCTCCTGCCTCCTCCCTCTCCTCCTCCTCCTCCCTCCTCCTCCTCCCTCCTCCTCCCGTCCTCGTCCTCCTCCTCCTCATCCTTTTCCTCCTCTCTCCTCCTCCTCCTCCTCCTTCCTCCTCCTCCTACCTCCTCCTCCTCCTCCTCCTCTTCCTTCTCCTCTTCCTCCTCCTCTTCCTCCTCCTCCTGCTCCTCCTCCTCCTCCTTCTCCTCCTCCTCCCTCCTCCTCCCTCTCCTCTTCTCCTCCTCCTCCTCCTCCTCCTCCTCCTCCTCCTCCTCCTCCTTCGCCTTCGCCTCCTCCTCCTCCTCCTCCTCGACGAATCGTTGGGCCAAAGTCTGGCCACGCTATTGGACTGTGTGTTCCCCCAGCCGTTGTGGAACCCCTGAGAGGGACGCCTGTGAGGGGAAGAGAGGAGGAGGAGGGATGAGAGGATAACGAGAAGGGGGAAGAGGAGGAGCCTCGAGGCCCTCTTGTGGCTTCCTGGGGGCTTCTGGGAGCCTCTTCAGGGCCTCTGAGGTGCCTCTTGGAGGCCCCCTGGGGCTTGGACTATGGGGCCGTCTCTGGGGATGCGTGGGCCGTCTTTGGGCCCTCCTGGGCCAGCTTGCTGGCCTCTTGGGGCCCCTCGTGGGTGGCTTGAGGCGGTCCTCGGGGCTTATAGGGCCGTCTTGGAGCTTCGGAGCCGCGAAATACGAGAACGCTAAAAGCATTGGACACACAAATAATTGGACATCAATGATTTTAGCATCCTCGAGGTCCTCTTGGGCCCTGGAGGCCCCCTGGACCGTCTGGAGGGCATGTTGAGCCGTCGTGGTGCCATATTGGCTGTCTTGGAGACGTGTTGCGACCGTCTTCGTGGGTTTGGGCCATCTTGGCCGTCATGGAGGCCACCTTGGCCGCCTCGGGTGTCGTTGTGGCGGCCATATTGGGGGCCGTCTGGGGGGGGGGCAGTGGAGGCCAGGGTTTCCGCACGGCTGACGGGATCGGTCGAGACCGCGCTTGGGAATTTCCTTGGAAGGACCAGCACGCTCATGAGTTTGGCACGCTGGGCACCTCTCTGATACACGGACAGGTGGGCGGCAGATGGAAGAAGCATGCGGCGAATATTGTCGGAAACGCCCGTGCGGCCAAACGTTGGGCCGAAGTCTGGCCAAGCTATTGGATTATAGTGTTCCCCCAGCTGTTGTGGAACCCCTTGGGAAACATTTGGGAGAGGGAGACGGGAGGAGGAGGGAGGAGAAAGAAGACGAGAAATATGAAGAGGAGGAGGAGGAACAGGCCTCCTGATGCCCTCTTGAGACCTCCTGGTGTCTTCCTGGGAGCCTCTTGGGGGCCTCTGAGGGGCTTCGGGAGGCCTCATGGGGCGGTCTCTTAAGGGCCTCCTAAGGCTCTTGGAGTATTTTGAGGGCCTCCTAAGGGACCTCGTGGCCTTCGGAGGCAGTCTTCTTCCTCCTCCTCCTCCTCCTCCTCCTTCTCCTCCTCCTCCTCCTCCTCCTCCTCCTCCTTCCGTTCTTCCTCCTTCTCCTTCCTCCCCCGCCGCCTCGTCGTCCTCCTCCTCATCCTCCTGCTCCTCCTGCTCCTGTTCCTCCTCTTTCTCTTTCTCCTCCCCGTCCCCTCCTCACCCTCTGTTCCTGCTGCTGCTGCTGGTCCTCCTCCTCCTTCTCCTCCCCTCCTCCTCCTCCTCCTCCTCCTCCTGCTCATCCTCCTCCTCCTCCTCCTCCTCCTCCTCCTCCTCCTCCTCCTCCCCATTCCCCTCCTCCCACGGTCGTCGTGTTCGCCGTCGTCGTCCTCATGCGGAGGAGTGAGGAGGATAACCAGGAAGATGCTTGTGAACGTTCGTGGGGCGCGTGTCCTTACGTATCTTTTGTGAGCGTTCGGAAAGCTCGCCTAAATTATATGTGATCGCGATGATGCTGCAAGTGGTTGCGTAACTCTTCCCTTTCACGCGCTTCCCGTTCATGTCAGGAAAGGTTCCCAAAACAAGCGTCTCGCTCGAGACATCCTCACAACATCGTGAAGTTGGGGTCGTGTTGTAAGACGTTTGTTGCTACGCATGAGCGTTTCGCTCGAGACGTCCTCCAAAAATGGAGATGTTGAAATCGCTCGCCTAATTCTCGGATCCTCGAAAATTGGTGTTTCGCCAGAGACATCATCGGAAACATGGGATGCCGACAGAACTCTTGTAAGGCATCTTTCCGGAGCGATCTCGGATGACCTCCAAGATGGCCCAAGAAGCGAAACTATTGAAAAAGCCAACGTGTTTGAATAGTTTCGTTGAAATCAGCATTTCGCTGGAGACATCCCCTAAAAACTGCATTCGAACGGGCCCTCGAGACCATACTGTCTCCTCCTCCTCATCATCCTCCCCCTTCTCCTCCTCCTCCTCTTCCTCCTTCTCCTCCTCTTCCTCCTTCTCCTCCTCCTCCTTCTCCTCCTCTTCCTCCTCATGTGCTTGCTTCTCCACCTCCTCCTCCCCCTCCCGTTCTTCCTCCTTCTGTTTCCTCCTCCTCCGCCTCGTCCTCCTCCTCCTCCTCCTTCTCCTGCTCTTGTTCCTCCTCTTCCTCGTCCTCCCCCCCGTCCCCTCCTCACCCTCTGCTCCTGCTGCTGCTGCTGCTGCTGGTCCTCCTCCTCCTCCTCCTCCTCCTCCTCCTCCTCCTTCTCCTCCTCCTCCTCCTCCTCCTCCTCCTCCTCCTCCTCCTCCTCCCTCCTTCTTCCGTAGCCAGTTTGGCTCAAGATGCTCTGTTCCACAGGGGAACAAGTGGATACCGCTAGTCCGCGGCCAGTGCCAGGGCGCTTCTGCCCGACAGTTTTGTTTCCGACCCTCCTGGCCCTGTGGCTGGCCTCGTTGCTCTCCCGAGCAGGCGAGGGACCATGGCGCCTGTGGGACGCGGCGGTGGCGGTGAGACCAAGCCCGACTTGTACTGCCGTTTCTGCAAGTACGAGCGTGGGCCCAAGATCGGCATGCCGTGCATCACGTTCGGCACCAAGCAGCTCTGTCACTTCTGTGGAGGGGCCAAGGACCGCACCTTCCTGGGCCATGTCCGTGGGGAGGAAGGTCTGCGCCGCGGCCACAGTGGCACCTCGGGGGCTGGTGGTGGCGCAGGCGCCGGCGCCGCTGGGCAGCACCTTGCAATGCAGAGGGAGCTCACGAGGCTGCGGGAGGAGCTCAAGACCCTGCGCGCGGAGGGCACGAAGGGCCCCGTGGCGGAGGCGCCCAGTTGTGCTGACGCCGAGGAGAGCGCTGAGGGAGGAGACGAGCAGCGCAAAATCGAACATCTTGATTGCCAGCTACGGGTGCTGCGAGGTCTCTCCGACCCAGGGGAAGAGATTCTCGACACGATCGAGCAGCTGGCGGCCCAGCGGCAGGTCTTGGCGGAGCAGGTGCGCGCCAAGAAGCCCGTTGTCGCGCAGTTGCTCACACTCCAGAAGAAACTCAAGTCCAAGCAGGACGGCATCGGCAGGCAGGATGCGGCGGTGGCCAAGGCGCAGGAGGCAGTCTCCGCGACGCAGGCCGCGTTGGAGGCCGAGCGTGAGAAGGGCACAAAGCTGCGTGCTGATGCCGCCGAGCTGGAGGAGCAGGCGCGGGCGCTCAGCGCCCAGGTGCCCAAGCCTCCCGATGCGAAGGAGTCCGCAGGGGCCCCAGGTGGTGCGCCGAACCTCGACGGCTTGGCCGACCTCCTCAAGGAGCTGGGGGCGACGGGCGAAGTCACGGAGAAGTTCTTGGCCCACCCCAAGATCGCGGCGTCTTTCGGCCCTAGGGCTGCGACGCGCGCGCGGC